CCCCCAAACTATGTGCGACGTTGCACTGGTCTGCATTAAATATTTAATAAGACAATAAACTTTATGTATGGGATAATTTTGTACTGAACTGAAGTCACATATTGAGCAAGTTATCAACACATGACCGAACATGATGCCCAACCAAAGACAAATGTAAAAAAGCCTGAAAAAGAGGAGGGTCACACTCTGCTCCTCATATTTAAAAAAACAAACAAAACTGCATTGATCAAGATCAGGACAGCATGACAGGTTTATTGGGATTACAAGAATACTATGGAGGAGTAATGGGCAATATGTAGTGATTTGTTATTAAGGTGACATTGAAGATGTCGGTGGATGTAAGCTGAATTTTGAAGGATTGCTAACATCACCCCAAACTACTAAGTTTCATCAGAATTGACTAAAACCTTTTTGGAGCTCTCACATTTATCGCACCAAAAACACAACCTTCTCTGCGGAGGTAAAAAGAAAAAGGAAAAACAAATGTCCAATAAGAAATGGCGATACATTTTCAGACACCTGAAAGGTGATAAATGATTCACTTCTATGTTCGTGGAAAAAGCAGAGGTGCAAAAATTGTCCAAAAACTCAGTTGAGCTCTTTAGTCACTTTTTCTTCAGAGGGGACGACTAACAAAACACAAACTCCATCACGTGATCGTGACTGGCTCATGTTCTGAGTTTTCTCCAGACGGGTAATTATGGCACATCACAGTAACATACTCCACAGGTTTCTACTGTGATTTAATTTTTGTTTCTGCAGTTTGACTTTAAGATTTTGACTCCAACCAGCCGAATATCTCTACTTCTATTCCCAGCCCTCAGTGGAGGACTGTGAAGTGCCTCCTTCCTACGGCAAATGGCTTTTTTTTATTACTTTGAACAGCAGTACTTCCCTCTTTGGTAATAACATACTCAGTGCCCTAGTGGGTGAAATGGCACCTCCCTCCAAGTCCACTCATAGCCTCATAATAAGCACCCTAAAAGCACTGCAAATGATTCGGTGTTCCATTTTTCTTGGCCACAAATGCATTCTGAGTCATGCAAAGTTTTTAAGAGTTTTAAGTCACCCCATTTGCAGCCATTTATATTCACTGATGCATTTAGTTAATGCATTGTGCTTTTCAGAACAGACAAAAAAAGAAAAAAGCTGGAGAGGGGAAAAGAAAGATGGATGGCAGATTGAAGCCGTGTGTGTGTACTCTGTGCTCGGGTTGAGAACAGATGAGCAGAGGGAGTGCGCTGTGACCTGCACCGCACTGTGTTAGACAAACCTCATTACTAATTCAGTTGGACCAAGCTACCCTTTACAGCACAGCTGGAGGGCACATCATAGCTCTGTACAAGGCGTCAGGGAGAATAAAGTGGGACAATGCTGAGGTTGTGTCCGTGTGCGTATTATACAGTACCGAGTGTAATGTTTGTACAAATGATGTAGGTGCAACAGGGACAC